CCCACACACAGTGTCGCACTGCTGTCGAGTGGCTGTAAGTGCAGGAGGGCTGAGACGTGCCTCAGGGGGAGGCACACGTGTGAGGTGAGCTTTGTTCGGGCGCGAGTTATAGTGCTGTTGGCCATGAGTTCAGGGTTAATGATTCAACAATATATATTAAATCAGGTGTCTTAAATAGAAACACACATAAAACAAGGTTATGTATTGTTCAGTTGATGAAAATATTGCAACCAGAGGCTCACATGAACCTAACCCTGTATTTCCCCCGCCGGCAAAGCTTCAGTATTTCCCAGTTCGGTGTTTGCCATGACTTGACACAACATAACCACCACGAATAATGAGAATTGACTGTACCAATCCGACCGTTCCCCCAGGCCTCCCTCTGCACAAAGATAAATCCAAACTCCTTAGCACAGTGTTCCAGGTCTTTCATGGTTGAAAAGGTCCTTGCTGACCTTCCAGGCACCTGGCCGTTTGGTGCCCCCACCACACCCCAGCCAGTCCAGGCTCTAAAGTTCTTTGATTGTGTTTCACAAAGTTCCTCTGCACACTCTGTGCCCTCTGCCAAAGAGGCCTCTCCTCCTCGGCTCCTCTTGGTGGTCTCCTACACATCCCTCAAAACCCAGCTGCACTGTCACCTTGTCTGGGTCTCCCCTAGCAGAATTTGACACACCCTTCTCTGATATGTCCCTTACAGCCCTTCTCACAATCGTGTGCCTGACCCACTCATGTGTTTCCTCTTTACTATACTTAGCAGTCGTGTTCTGGAAAGAATGTGAAAGGGGGACAGATGTGTGTGACTCTCTTTGTAGGGTGCGTGCATTTCATACATCACTCATTCAATAAACATAAATCAAGACCTCACGTGCTACCAGGCCCCATTCTAGGCACCAGGGGTACAGCGGTGAACAAACAAAGCACTAGCCCTGGGTGGCTCAGTGGGTTAGAACATCATTCCGATACGCCAAGGTTGTGGGTTCAATCACCGTCAGGGCACATACAAGAAGCAACCAATGAATGCATAAGTGGAACAACACATTAATGTTTCTCTCTCTCTCACTTCCTCTCCCTCCCCCGCCCCCCAAAAAATCAATCAGTAAAAATTTTTTTAAAAAGCACTGCCTGCCCTGGCCAGTTTGGTTCAGCAGTTACAGCATCAGCCTGAGGACCAAAGAGTCGCAGGTTCTGTTCCCGGTCAAGGGCACATACCTGGGTTGCAGGTTCGATCCCCAGCCCCAGTTGGGGTCGTATGGGAGGCAACCAATTGATAACGTTTCTTTCATATGTATGTTTCTCTCTCTCTCTCTCTCTCTCTCTCTCTTCCCCCACCCCTTTCAATCTAAAAATCAATGGAACAATATCCTCAGGTGAGGATTAACAAAAAAAAAGGAAAACAAAAGCATCGCCCCGTGTGTGTGCAACGCCTGCCGTAAGCGTGGCCTGTGCGTAAGTGTGCACACACGTGGGGCTGCGTTCTGCTTGCTGTGGACCTGCGGTGTCTGTGGCTCTTAGACACACTGTCCATTGAATTCGGGCCCCGTGCGACCTGCTGACAAAGGGCATCTTAGAGCTAATTAGGCCAACAGGCTGTGTCTGCGCACTAATGAGAAACCCGCGCGGGCGCTCCCTGCCTGCCCTCCCCGCCTCTCCGACATCACTGCCTGGCCCTGGTGTTGCCTTTTTAACCCAAAGACAATATCCATCCACATGAGATTTTCTCAGGCATACTTCTGTCTCCTCTTCCCTTCTCTGCCTCCCTACATCTCAAAGAGAAGGGGCCTAGGAGCAGGGGGAAGAGAAGTCGTTTCTGTGAGTGCCCGCTGTGTGTCGGGGGTGTGTGGACAGCTTTGACACACCAGGGGAGTCGTCGGAAGGCCTTCCTCTGTGCCAGGCACTGTTCTAGCACTGTACCTCTGTCGGCTGGGCGATAAGGACGCAACCCCACAAGGCTGTCCCGCATCACACTCGGTATCTTCTCAGGACACCCCTCAAGGGCACAACGGGTCTCACTGCACAACAGAGAAACCAGGAGATTGCCCACAGGTGAGGTTCAGATCCAGCAGTATGATTCCAGACGCAGGGGTGTGAGGTCAGATACAGGGGTTGTTCCCTGAAATGCATTCCCTGTCAAATGGGAGTCACCGTCTCTGGGCAGGACTAGTGTGGTCAGCCTCTTCCCAATGGAGCTCACCCTCAAGGCCTTCCTTTTTCTTTTTTTTTTTCCTTTTAATCCTCACCCAAGGATATTTTTTCCATTGATTTTTTTAGAGAGAGTGGAAAGGAGAACGTGAGGGGGAGAGAGAGAGAGAGAAACATGAATGTAAGAGACACATCGATCAGTTGCCTCCCGCACATGCCCTGACCAGGGCCAGTGATTGAACCTGAATCCCAGGTACATGCCCTTGACCTGGAATGGAACCCATGACCTTTCAGTGTGCTGGCTGAGGCTCTGACCACTGACCACACCAGCCAGGGCGCAAGGCCTTTCTTACATCATCAGCGTGTCCCCAGCCTATGCCAGGCTGCAAGACCATGCCCAGCCTCTCTGATGCCCCCTTTATCTGTGTCGCCAGCACCAAACACAGCACCTGGCACACAGCAGTGTCTCAGGGTGATTCTTAAATTTAAAACAAAAGTTAGTGGACTACTGTGCAGGAGAAAGCTGTCCTCCCCCTGATGCCAGACAACGCAGTTCCTCCCGATACGTCCAGGCCTGGAGCTCAGGGGCAGGCAGTGAGTCCAAGGGTGTCTAAGGCCAGTACCCGGACTACTAGGAGGCGTGTCCCCCAGCGCGCAGGAGGCCGCGTGTGTGCACAGCTGTTCGGCGGACCCTGCGCAGGACCCAGAGCACCCACGCGATTGTGCAGGAGGATCCCTGTGCCACGTGATGACCTTGGGCATGCCCTGCGGCGGGGAAGGGGTCGCAACCCTTGCATGTAGTCGCTCTGTTGATTCTGAGCCCCAAGACTCAGTGCGTGGACCCTGCGCGTAAAACAACCAACCTCTTTTCCCTCTTGACCCCTCCCTCCCCCCGAGCCCTGCCCAACTTTTCCTCTCCCTCTCCATTAGCCACTCTGAGTTTGGGGCATCCCCTCCCACTCACTCCCAGCATCCGAAGAAACTAGCATCCCAGGCACAAACCTTAACTCAACATCCCTGAACCTACCACCAGACACCCCAGAAATCCGTTACAGACACACGTGGATATGTGTCCCCCAAACACATCAGGACACAGAAAGCATGTCAGCACCTCACGGGGCTTCAGGTTCTCAGGTTCCTCCTCGGGTGGCCCCAGGCTCGGTGGGGAAACAGGACGGTGTGCGGGCAGCCAGTGAGGAAGGTAGGCGAGAGGTAAGGCTGTTGGCCAGAGGAGGGCAGAGCTGCGACCATCATGGCATAGCAAAGGAAGTAAAGGGGTCTTTAATGGGGCTGGAGGGGCAGGGGTCAGATCATGGTGCCCCTCCAGGTTAAGAAGCTTACTGGGTAAAGGGGAGATGTGAGTTTTTGTGGAGGGAAGTTTCATAATGAATGTAGAGCCAGACACATACCCAAATCCAAAACACTGTGAGTTTAGCCCGGTCCTTCCCACGACCAGCTGACTAGGTCCCTGTTCCTTCAGTGCTCAGAAAACCCCTGTTCCCGTGCCAGGGTGCCTCGGGCAGCAGTCAAGCTGAACCAGGGGTCCCCTTGCTTGGGGTGGGATTGCCAACCCTAGGATGTGCCTCCAGCAGGAAACGCATTTCTGCTCCCCAGAGCTTGGCTCTGGGCACAGAGCTGAGGCTATCACCATCTTAGGCTTTGAGCTCTTCCTTCACCCTGGGGCAGATGACAGTGTTCACTTCTGGGCCTAATCCACCTTTGTCTCAGCCCAGCAGTTCCCCAGCCTGTCCCGATCACCACAAACGCTAACATCCCTGCCCAGTAACCAGAGGAGCCTGCTAGAGTCCCCTGCAGACAGGGGCTCCCGTGGCCCGGCTGCAAAGACTAACAAAGGTGGGGTAGCTCAGAAAGAAAAAGAAAAAAAACAAGTGTTACCGGAAAGGCCAATGTGTGTGGTCTTGGAAGAAGCAGCCCCATGGGAGAAAAGATGGGGGAAGGGCAGTCATTTGTGCCGGGTTTGTGGAGGAGCTTAGTGTGTGTTTTGGGGGGAAAGTGGGGCAGTGTATGCAGGTGAGGGGCTAGCTCTCTGTGCAGCCCATCACGCACTCAGCACTGGGGTGCAAAGACAACTAGATTCCCGCAGCAACAGGATGGTGGGGAACCGGGAGGCTGCCCCATGACCTCCTGCAGTCAAGGAGAGGCTGTGCAGAGGTACTAGGCTTATTCACTGGTAATCAAGACCAAGTTGGTGAGTTCCTGGGGGTCAAGGGCTGACCCATTGTATGCTCACAAGCCCCCAAACATCTCCTGATGTGGACTGATTTGTTCATTCGACAGAGGGGAGCCGGCTCAGTTAAGATCAGCTGTTACAATGCAGTCTGCCGATGATGTGGAAGCCCAGGGATAGGGCCCTAAGCCACCTGGCGCAGCACAGTTGGGGGTGGCTCCTTGGAGGCGCAAGCAGGTGAGGAGAAAGGTGAGAGAAGGCGTCCAGTGGGGGCACCTGACGGAGCAAAGGCATTGTGGCTGGAGACAGCGTTTGGGAGTCACGGCATCTCCAAAGGTGACGAAGCTGTGAGGGTGAAAGGCCACCGAGGGGCAACCAGAGAGAGAGGACAGTCTGGAGAACAGTCCCAGGAAGTAGCAGTGGGGAGTTTCTAGGTTCCTCCCACACAAGGTCCGGGATGGGAGGACAAGCAGGGGCTCAGAGTGGACCTGGGGTTCTCCCCTGAGAGGAGGCCAGGATTCGAGGCTCAGCACCAGGAGGAGTGAACACCTACGTTTCCTGGACCACATCAGAGGCAGCCTAGGAAGGGCGGGGCCCAACCAATGGCCCTGCCAAGTGCAGCTCCTCCTCTTTCTAGGCCAGCGACACACCCAACCTGTGGCTCTCTCGAAGGCTCTGCCTCAGGAACGGGCTTCCCCAAACACCCTCCCCGGTCTGACATGAGGTCCAGCCGCCTGCTGAGTCCACTGCTGACTGTCAGGAGCCAGTACCTGGAGAGCCCCGAGGAGCAGCCACTCAGGTAAGATCGTCTGTACCCAAATGTAGTCTGCCCCTTGGCACACCTGGCAGAGGGGAACTTCTCTGGAGGAGAGTCGAGGGAGGTGGCCTGGACAGGTCTGCCTGGATCCTGAGACAGAGAAATAGAGTTCCTCCCTCCGCTGCTCTGGGTTTTTCCCACTCTCCCCAACTGAGCAGGGGGGAGCCAGGGACTGAGCGGGGAAGAACTCACGGGGAACCTGGAGCTGGAAAAGCAGAGCAGTCTGCCTAGGCCTGCTCAGCCCTGTCCTGCCCCACCCCAGCGGGGCTGGGCCCAGGGCCCCTGGGAACTAAGGGCTGGAGCTCCCTGGTTGTTTCCTGAGAAGCTGCCAGTTCCACCCACCTTAGGCAGGACCGAGCAGGGACAGGCTGATGACTCAGAGCAGGGGCCCATGCCCAGGGGAGGGCGGTGCAGACAGACAGTGGCGAGCAGACACCCAGCCCCTCTCAGCCAGGACCCACCTGGCACAGGAGGAAGTGGGCGCAGACAAGATGCGCAGGCAGCTTTCCAGGAAAGGGGCCCAGCCCGAGCGCGGGTTCTGGGGCCAGAGCGCCTGAATTCCAGTCCCAGCTCTGCCACTTACCAGCTGTGTAACTGTGAGCAAATTAACTAACCTCTCTGTGCTCCACTTTTCTCATCTGTAAATTGGGAATAAAAATTATATCCTACCCTTTCCTACAGTTGCTGCTGTATTGATTCATGCAAAGTGCTCAAAACAGTGCCTGGCGCTGACTAGACGCCCAACAAAGATTGGCTCTTACCTCCATCTGCTGCAGATCCTGCAGGGGGTCAGGACAGCATGGTGACCTTCAGCCTGGACCAGCAGTGGGAAGGGCATCAGGAGCCCCTTAGAGCAAGAGGCTGTGCAGACAAGCTCCCTGAGGTCCTGGGGGCCCAGCAGGGTGGGATTGGTGCGTGTGTCTCTCCCCCCAAGAGCCAGCCAGAGGAATTCCGAGAGAGAAAGTGGGCACCCCTCACTCTGAACAGCAGCCACACATTCCTTAGAGGGAGGTAAACCTGATCCCTGTGTTTAGCACAACAAACTCACCAGCAGAAGTGACGAAAGCAGCATTTCCCATGTTGGTGTCTTGACAAGGCTGTTCCACATGATGATGAACATGGATTCTGTGGTCAAGGAAGTTTGGACAATGCTGCATATTCTGTCCCCCTCGGGGAGATTCACACTGTGAGTTTATTGGCATGGTCAAGCAAAGGGGCCAACTTAACTTCGCCAAACACAATGCTTGCCTACCTTCCTTTTCTCTCGTCACCCCCATAGCCAGCCTATGGAACAGGGTTCCGTGGAACAGCACTTTGGGCAACACAGCTTTACTAGGACACTCTAGGAAGCTTATTGTATAGAGAACCATTGCCCCCCATGTTGTCTTTCACCTGGATTGCCATTGGCCTTGCTGCAGGTGAGTTGCACCTGAGCAGGACACTGCCTGGATGCTTTCACTGAGTGCTCGACTAGGTGGGAGTTTGGGGACACGTTTCCAGCCTCCTCTCCAGCCTAATCCTCCAAGTCAAGTAAAAGACAAAGAGTGGATTCCCCTTGGGAGAGGCTGTCTAAGGGGAGAGGGGCAGTGTGCAGAAAGGAGAGGAGAAGTCTTCCCAAGGCTCAACTCCCTGAGGAGGGGGGCCAGGGCTGGAACAGAGAGAGAAGGCAGAATGTCCCACCTACTTAAGCCTTGACTCTGCAGGACTGCAAGACCAGAGCCATAGGCCCTGGGAGAAATGAGGGGCTCCCTGGACTCACCTTCGCCCACTTTTATGGGTAAGAGTTGAGTTCTGGACTTAACTACTCATGCTCAAATCCCAGCTCTACACCTAATGGTTGTGTGACCTTGTATGATTACTCTAAACCTCAGTTTCCTCCATCTGTAAAATGGGTTCAATGATAAAACCTAGCTCCTCTGCAGCTGTGAGGATTAGATACAATGATGTTTCTATAAGGTGTTCGCAGTGACTACTCTATAAATGTGGGAAATTGTTGCTATTCCCCTGCAGCCGCAGCCGACGCCTGGGTCCACCATGAACTGGGGGATCTTTGAGGGGCTCCTAAGTGGGGTCAACAAGTACTCCACAGCCTTCGGGCGCATATGGCTGTCTCTGGTCTTCATCTTCCGAGTGCTGGTGTACCTGGTGACGGCTGAGCGCGTGTGGAGTGACGACCACAAGGATTTTGACTGCAACACCCTCCAGCCAGGCTGCTCCAACGTCTGCTTCGACGAGTTCTTCCCCGTGTCCCACGTGCGCCTCTGGGCCCTGCAGCTCATCCTGGTCACGTGCCCCTCGCTCCTCGTGGTCATGCACGTGGCCTACCGGGAGGCACGGGAGAAAAAGCACCGAGAGGCGGTGGGGGAGAACGGCGGGCGCCTCTACCTGAATCCCGGCAAGAAGCAGGGTGGACTCTGGTGGACGTATGTCTGCAGCCTGGTGTTCAAGGCCGGCGTGGACACCGTCTTCCTCTATGTGTTCCACTCGTTCTATCCCAAATACATCCTCCCTCACGTGGTCAAGTGCCGCGCGGCTCCGTGTCCCAACACGGTGGACTGCTTCATCTCCAGACCCTCGGAGAAGAACATCTTCACCCTCTTCATGGTCGTCACGGCCGCCGTGTGCATCCTGCTCAACCTCCTGGAGCTGGCGTACCTGGTGAGCAAGCGGTGCCGCGAGTGCTCGGCAGCGCGGAGGGCCAGGGCCGCCAGCGCCTCGTCCTACAAACACGCTGACCTCCTCTCAGGAGACCTCATTTTTCTGGGCTCAGACACTCACCCTCCTCTCTTACCAGACTGCCCTCGAGACCACGTGAAGAAAACCATCCTGTGAGGGCCGCTTGCACTGCGCCGTGGGGCTGTCCCGGGAGCAGTCGTCGGGGCGGGAGCTCCTGCCACCTGCCCCAGCTGTGCGTCCCTGGGCCCCTCCGTTTCCTTCTGTGTGAAATGGAGATGATGAGGCCTCGCAGGGTGGTCGCGATGAGGGGTTTCATTAGAGAAGAGATGCGCAGGCAACCTTAATGTGTGGGGCTCACGGTCCGGCTTAATAAAAGTCAACTCCTCCACTGATTCAAGGTGCCCGTTAGTCCTCTGGCCTTTGTGACCCTTCTCTGGTCACTGGGTCATCTCTCTGTCCCTGGTCCAACCAGGTGAGGGACTATCCTCTTCCCTAGGAAGGGTCCCCAGCACTCTTGGGGGTCATGCTGCCTGTTCATGCCTTAATCCTCAGTTGCAATTCTAGGCCTAGAGGTCCTCTGCAAAGAGAATGGATCTTAGTATGCGGGGAGCAACGTTGGGCAGTAGAAAGTTCATGGACCTGAGTCAGAACACTTGCATTCAAGTCCCAAGTTCCAATGGGACTCTGGAAAAGTGACTTGGCTTCCCTCTAAAATGGGTTAATAGCCCAGCTGGCTTAGCTCAGTGGTTGAGCGTTGACCCATGCACCAAGAGGTCACCGGTTCAATTGTCGGTCAGGGCACATGCCCAGGCTGTGGGCCCGGTCCCTGGTGGGGGCATGCAGGAGGCGGCCAGTCGATGTTCTCTCTTATCGATGTTTCTCTCTCTCTCTCTCCCTCTCCCTTTCTCTCTCTCTCAAATCAATAAAGAAAAAAAATATTTTAAAAATTAAAAAAAATAATAAATAAAAATAAAATGGGTTAATAATACTGAGCCCATGGTGCTGTTGAGAGGACCTGGTGAGCTCGTGGTTGTGGATGGGGTTCACTGGTTACAAAAGGCCACATAAATGTTAATCATTGGTATTAGGAAGTACTCCGTGCATGCTTGTGGGAAGTGGGGCAGAGAAGTCCCTCCCTGGCTACACATTAACCTTCACTGCCCCAAGGCCTTCTACTGCCCCCAGTGGGCCACAGTCTGACTTCCCCGGAGGCCGGCCTCAGAGACTGACAGCTGGGGCATGTCTTGCTGCCAACCTGCACTCCTTGTCTCCACCTGGGCAGTGGGGTTCCCTTGTTTAGAAGAACCACAGTTAGCCCCTCCCATTCCCTACACAGCTTAGCAGCAGCCCAAGCTCTAGTCCCCAGAAATGTCCCCACAGGTGGATGCTGAATCCAGATTGCCCCTTTCCACAGGTGTCAGCCGCTGAGGATTTCAGAACCAGGCTTTCAGAGAAAAGGACAGGAGAGAGGCCCGGGGACAGGGACAGGGAGCAATAAAGCAACAGGAAAGGGACAGGAGCAACGCCATTGCTGCTGACCTGGACCTGGGGAATGAAGGTACCAGGCTCCTGCCCCCCTCGCTGCAACCCACACACCTACCAGACCAGGTGCCTGACCCAGCCATGCCCAGCCAGGCTGGAGGAGAGCGTGGGCCAGGAGAGAAGAGCTGCCTATGTGCCCGGGGAAGTCCGCCCGCCAGCCTGCCCACCCGCTCACTCTCCTTGGCTCATTGGCTCAGAAAGCCACACCCAGCAGAGGAGTGAAGAACAAAACTGCCTTTGGGAGGCCCTCAGGCAGACAGATCAGCCCAGGGACCGGAGGAGAGGCTGCAGGACCTAAGAAAGGTGAGGGCTGAACTGGGCAGGAGGCTGGGCTGGATCCAGCAGAGCTAAGGATCCCCAGGGGACCTTGGACTGTGGGCTGGGCTTCCGGGAAAAGCAGAAGGAACTGAGGATCCCTGGGAAAAAACCCAAAGAGGGGAAGAAATGTCCTTCCAGACTGAAGAGACGAGAAGAGGAAGGAACAGGAAAAGGCGGGGTTTCAATTCGGTTTAGCAAACATCTATTGTGTGTCCACTGGGCCAGGTCCAGTGCTGAGTCCTGGGGAAACAGGGATGATGAGACAGGGGGCTGCCCTCCAGAAGGACAGTCTGGCACAGAAGACAGGTAAGCAGGCCATTTGAGTATCAGTGATGCCTGAAAGGAAGAAGGTGCTCAGAAGATGTCCCAAGGGCACGAGGTCTGATGCTGAGATCTGAGTCAGGGACAGCGGAGGGGCCGGGTCAGAGATGGAGCATGATGGCACTCCAATAAGGGGGTGTGGAGGGTGGAGCACACAGGACAGGGGCCTGGATGAAAATGATACGAGGTTTGGCGGGCAAACATCCGCTGAGCAAACGGAGAAGGGGATTTCCCTGAGAGAACAAGTAAATGGGGAAGCACCGTGCCAGAATCCCGCCCTGTCCTTGCCCCCACCCCTCCCCTAAAGCCAGAATGGTTGGAATTCCAGAGGGACCCACTGTGGTCAGGCACCCATGGCAGGGGGTGGGGGAGGGGTGGGGTGGACCAGGATGATATCAAGCCACCATGGTTCCAAAGAGAGAGCCTGTTTGGTTTGGGAAGGAGAGTCTAGGTGGGGATGTCCTGGAGCCAGAGAGAGAAATGAGAATGAATATCTCGGGATCTGCCTAAGAGGCTGATGTGATCCCGCACCCAGCTCAGGGCCTGGTTCATGTTGGAGGAAACTGGAGGATAAAGATACATGTCCCTCCTCCCCTCCCACTGGTCCAGCTCTGGCAGCCAATGGGAAGATGGATCATTCAGTCCACACCTTCTTACTTCTTCAGAAGCCAGTGAGCCACAGGGCTGAAACTTGGGGTCAAAGAGGTTGGCAGGCACATCCACGCAGGATGATTATCCTTCACATATGTCTATTACTTTGTAGAATAAAATATCCCCTGGTTTTGGAACTGGAAGATGGAAGTTCAAGACCAGCTGTGGGGCCTTGGGCAGGTGCCTCCCTGGGCTTTAGCTTACTCCCTGTGAAATGGGGATGATGGCAATCCCTTCCCCACCAAGTCATTGTGAGCGAGGACATGATGACACAGTGGTTGTGAAACAGTGTTGCCAGTCATATCTTTAATAAAGGGCACCCAGCCCAGCCAGTGTGGCTCAGTGGATTGAGCGCCGTCCCCTGGACTGAGAGGTCCCGGTTTGATTCCGGGTCAGGGCGCACACCCAGGTCCCAGGCTCCATCCCCAGTAGGGGGCGTGCAGGAGGCAGCTGATCAATGTTTCTCTCTCACATGGATGTTTCTATCTCTCTCTCCCTTCCTCTCTCTCTAAAAAAATCAATAAAAAATATTTAAAACAATAAAAGATAAAAATAAATAAAGGGCACCCATTTCCAGGTTCTCCCAGGCCTCAGCGGGTGCACTCCGGGTGCACATTGTCCACGTGAGGAACCACCAGCATGAACTGGGCATCCCTGCAGGGCCTCCTGAGTGGAGTCAACAAGTACTCCACGGCGCTGGGCCGCATCTGGCTGTCGGTGGTGTTCATCTTCCGGGTGCTGGTGTTCGTGGTGGCCGCTGAGGACGTGTGGGATGACGAACAGAAGGATTTCGTCTGCAACACCAAGCAGCCGGGCTGCCCCAACGTCTGCTACGACGAGTTCTTCCCCGTGTCCCACGTGCGCCTCTGGGCCCTGCAGCTCATCCTGGTCACGTGCCCCTCGCTGCTGGTGGTCATGCACGTGGCCTACCGGCAGGAGCGGGAACGGAAGTACCGCCTGAAACACGGGCCCAACGCCCCATCCCTCTACGACAACCCAAACAAGAAGCGGGGCGGACTCTGGTGGACATACTTGCTGAGTCTCATCTTCAAGGCCGCCGTGGACTCCGGCTTCCTCTACACCTTCCACTGCCTCTACCAGGGGCATTACGACATGCCCCGCGTGGTGGCCTGCTCCGAGTCACCCTGCCCCCACACCGTGGACTGCTACATCTCCCGACCCACGGAGAAGAAGGTCTTCATCTACTTCATGGTGGCCACAGCTGTGATCTGCATCCTGCTCAACCTCAGTGAGGTCACCTACCTGGTGGGCAAGAGGTGCCTGGAGATCGTTGGCCCCAGGCACCGCAGGTCTCGGCGCCGGAGTCGCCTGCATGACTCGTGCCCGCCATATGCCCTCTCCCAGGGAGAGCACCCCCAAGATGGGAACTCGCTTCTAATGAAGGCCGGGGTGGCCACGGTGGATACAGGTGGGTATCCGTAACCGGTGAGGTTGGCAACTGGGACCACCGGTCCCCCACCTGCTCCCTAAGGACACAGCAGAGCAGTGGCACTTTCTACAGCAGAGCTTGTGAGGAAGGGGCTGAGGGCTCAGGAAGCCCACCCAGGGGCCAGTGCTGGGGGTTAGTTCTGTCTCCGGGTCCTGAGTCCCAGCAGAGGGAGGTTTGATGGCAGCGATTTTATATTTGGGAATAGGGTCTGTCAGAACCCTTAATAAATATGATTTTCTCAGTACCTTGTAGACCGGGTGGGGAGTGATGGGCAGGAAAGCAAGGGAGTCACAGGACCTTGGAGAGGAGGCCAAGACCACTCAGTGGGCACTGAGCCCTGGAACCCCAGAGCCTGGTTCACCTGTCACACACACTCATACACACACAGAGTGTGCCCCCAAGGGCAGGGGCTGCGCCAGAGGTTTCTGGACTCTGTGGCCAGCTGGCCAAGGCAGGAGGGGGCCCCAGGGGACCTGTGCCCAGCACCAGTCAGTTCTCAGCGAGTGTCCCTCGGGCGAATGCATGTTGCTCAGGAGGCTCTGCGTCCCCCATCGCTCCCCCGACCCCGCCCAGTGTAAGGCCTGGTGGGCAAGTCCCGCTGAGGGGATGGGGGAGGCCTGGTGGAGGCGGGATGGTGCTGAGAGCAAATCCAGGGTGAGCGTCTGTCAGGGTGTCAAGGAAGCATATCCCCACAGGCCGGGGGCCCCTCATGGATCCTCCAGTTTGAGGAATTTTCCTTCTCTTTACTGGAGGCACACTCCTTCCCCCACCACCACCTCACCACTCAGACCTCACAACTTCCAAAGCCCCACCTGCAGCCTGGACCTGCCTGAGTCCCAGAGCCCCACCAACTGCCCACCGGACAACCCCCCAGGAGTCCCCCAGGCCTCTCCCACTCAGCAGCTCCCAAACCTGCCCTCCTCACAGATCACTCCCCACCCGTGAAGGGCACGGCCACCCACCCAGCTGTCCGAGCCAGGAGCTGGCCTGACATCCTCTTCCCTTCCCCATCTCCCAGCCCCTCCCACCCCACATCCCACTGAGCA